CATTTCGCTTATAGCTGAATCAGAAACATCCTGGAATTTTATCACTTAATTCTCAAAAAATGCCCGTGAAATTTTGCATAAGCTGACTGTACAGAGCATTCTATAGCTTATTTTCTTTAGGCAAATATGTTTAGCTCAAACCAGCATTTCTATCTCTTTTCCTACATTTAAATATTTGAGATCTTCAGAGCAGCTAGGAAGGGAAAAAAAAAAAAAAAACATAATCCAGGTAACAATACAACCTATTACACTGGTATTATTACCCTTTTCTTCACTACCGCCTGAAGCATACTATCTAACATTTGAAGGCGGCTAGAGTTTCTTTATCAGCTAATTATCTCTGTGTTCCATGGATTAATTCATCCAAAATAGAGAGTGAGGAAGGATTATTGGTTATCTCTGTTTTTTTTTTCTTTTTTTTTGTTACCTCTATTTTCTAAGCATATAATAATTCATCATGCTTTAAACAGCAAAAATGTAAAGCATTTTTGCATTTGATAAATATACCTTAGTATAGAGAAGTAGACTGTTTATGTAGAGTAGTGAAAGTACAGCTATTCCTGCTATTAAATGAACTGTAAATTTCATTCATTCACAACTTTAGAACTTGGCAAATACTCTAGAGATTGTTCTGTGTAATTTGTTCAATTAATGAGTTTTACATGCATGGACTCATTAACCAAAAATGCTCTGTAGGATTTCCCAGAGCAATAAACTACAGAAATTCAAGTGGATAAATCGTTAAGAAAAGAAGGAACATTAAAAGCAAAAATGTTTTGCAGGCAATTGTCATTTCTGTTTTCATCAAGCCCAAACCAGACTGTTTTCTATGGATTGTCAAATCTTTCAAAACTAAGGATGTTTAACTTATTTTTTTTTTACGACATGGTAAGAAAAATTACCAGTGCTTTTTAATTCACAAGCACAATGCTTACCTGCCTACTCATAGGGTCCAACCACTGAGTAATTCTAATTCACTAACAAAACAACGCATTTCAACTGGTTCCCCCATGAGAACAGTGTGTACTCAGAAAGCCTCCCCCAAAAAAGGTGTGTGCATGTGTGTGGACACGTGTGTGTCAGTCTGCGCTACTCATTATGTTAGTCTTATGATTTAACATAAGTGAAATGCTGCAAGAAAAATTCAAAGTTATAAACAGTTTAAGCTAAAAGAGAATCAAGCTAAAGCAGTATTAATTGTTTTCAGATTAAAAAACAAAATTGGTTTATTAGATACTAATCTCTCTCCAACTAACAGGTATTCCACATTCACACCCAAACTTGATGCCTACCAGTTTACCAGTGTTCAACAAAGAACAGATAAACTCTACACATACGCTAAATTGAGATGTATTTTAAAGAAGTAATAGTTTTTTTCCAATTTCTTAGTGAAAAATGATTACCAGCACCTGCTGTGCTAGTTAAGATTAGTATATCTCTAAAACTCCAGAGTTTTACAACTATTAGTTTCTTTTCCTCAATGTGTAGAAAAAGCTAATGGATTAACACTATTTCGGTACTGGTTCCTTTTCTTTTTCCTGTCTACTCTTCATATTTTATCTGCCTTTGAGAGATTTACAGTCTTCCTTTTTGGACTCACCATTTTTGCAAAGGACTTGCCCTTTCCAGAAGTCCAAATATTTATTTTTTTTATTAGCACATGTTTGCAGTATGTAATGTTTACAGTCATCTGAGGGATTAGGTAGGTACAGGTGCCATATTTTGAATTCTTTTTTTTCCTGTTCCCTTCCCATCCCTCCGCCTTCTCTCTGTCTCTAGAGTCCCTTCCCTTACTTTCATTTTTTGCATTTCAACAATTTTATTGAAAAGTATGCCCCTTAGTACCAAACATAATGGTAGTTGGTTAGGTTACTTCTGTCAAATCAAAATTAGTAACTGTATTTAAATTTAAATATAGCCAAAATACAGACCTAGTAGGTTTGACATATTTATTGAGCTATCTTTAATATTTCTTCTAAAAAAGGTTATGTTGCATCAATGATAAAAATTTCAATATAGAATCTACTTCCTCAGTCTAGTTCCATTAAAAAATACCTTCTATTATTATTACATAGTAACTCAAAATCAATTATCACTCGGAAAACTTGCTTTACCCTAAGTTCTGGCTACATATTTTTTCTTTTAGTTCATGTTTGCATTCATTGTGAGTAATGGATACACAAAACACATCTCAATTCTTTCCAAATCAATTGCCACCACCACCCTCCAACTCTTTAATTCCTTTCCTATTTGCAAAAGACACATCTTCCTGTTTCTTTTCATCTTTTATTTTGCTCTTTATCTTTATGTTTTAGATTTTTCATATGAAAGAAATCATATGATATTTAAGCTTATATATCCAATATATAATGATAACCTTAGAATATGTGATCACTTGTATATGGTGTTAATCCATTTATGGTAATTAACCATGACCCAAACTGAGTAAGTTGCAAGTTTCTTAGATTTCACATCACATTGTCTTTTTAGGTTTTCTACATTCTTGACCAAAGGAACACCATACTGCTAAGTACATGACAAGTACAGACTTACACATGAATGCACACTATTATCCTCAGCTCTGCTTTCATTCTCTAAGCTTGGGGAAGTAAAACATTGTATTGAGTAAGAAAACTGGCCACTAAAAGCAGGGATGCCTTTTTATATTACTAATGTTGAAAGACTAAATTAATATATCCAAAAATGAATTTTTGATCTCACTGGGACCAAAAACTGTAATATAGTAAGCTTAGATTATGTAATAATTGAAAAATGGTAGATGCTGAAGATATATATGAATTATGTTTGAGGTGTTTTTCACCATAGCATAGAAGACAAAGTAACTCATTTATGAAAACTAAAATTAAAGTTTTACTCAATTAAAAGCCTGTTTTTCTTCTTCCAATATACAATTCAATTATAACTGATTAATTATGATTAAATACCTAATCATTAAAATGTCATTCATCACAACAATTCTTCTTATGAACAGGCTACAGTTTTGTGACTAAATATTAAAGTGCTTTAAACAGTTCTTAATATGCTCAACTCTACTTTAATACCTGAATTCAGATGACCAACATCAAAAGAAAGGAACTTTAAAATAGCCTCAATGAAATGGCCAATATTTGGATGCAATTTATGCAAAGATCAAAGACAGAATTTCCTTAAATTGCATAATTAGAGTATGCAAAGAAAAACTAATACTATTTGACTGACATATGATCCAGTTATAATCTCTTTAATTTTTCATTTTTATTTTCCAAGTTAGTTAGAACTCATCTCCACATATATCAAAACGTGACCAAGAAACATTGCATGATCAATAAAATGAAAATACTAAATATAACTTTTTGTTATTTACATCATGACATTAACTGTCAGAATATTAAATATGACAATTGATAAAGTAAGAGCTATATTAATATTTACAAGTCATAAGCACAGAAACCAACAAACTGGGATTCACAAAGTTTTCAGTTAGTCCTTTGTTTGTAACTATTTGAAAGGCATGTTTAGACACATGTGCAGTGGTCCAAAAAAGGTAAATAATGGACAACTGTGAATTGTCACAGGTTACACATACCCTTGTGAGAATTCTGTTCTCAAAATAACTCCCATGCATATGCTATAGATAGCCAAGGACCTGAGATTCAGTCATAGTAGACACACTGCCATATTCACACCCAGATAATGACTTACACAAGTCAGTGGTTATCACATGGTATCATTTATCATTCATAAATTTCATTTCATGCTGAGATTTTTACCCATGTACGCTGTGACAACCTATCAAAACTTCCAGAACATTACATGAAGACGTTATCTGTTGAGCTGTCAGATCTTATTTATCAAACTTCGCATTATCTATGTTTTCGTATTCCTTTATGAACTATTTATTTTTCCCTTAAAGGTCTTCAAGACTCCCTGAACTACATTTGTGCCCGGGAAGCTGAGACAGGGAGAAAGTAGCCTAGTAATCGCGTGCTCTCCAGAGTCTACAGAATGACGCTACAGCCTTGGGCAGTGGTCACACAGGCGTGCTGGTCATTCGCCCTGTGTAAGAGAGACCGACACATGGAGGACAGCACGACAGCAGGTCCGGAACCTGCCCTGGCCTCCCTCCCGGGCCAGCGGTGCGCACTGCCCCCTCGGTGCTGGCTCCGACCCGCCCCGCGCGCTGCTGCGGAGAAAAGCGCCCGCACCGCGCCACCGGAACGCGGCGAGGACCGGACAGCGCCTTCCCGCGGGGCCGGACCAAGGCAGCTTTCGCGCCGGCTCTGCCTCCTCTGGGCCGGGGACGCCGCCGCGGGCGCTTCGGCGCTCAGTCCGGCGCGGATCCGATCCCGGGCCCGGAGCTGCACACACACGCGCGGCCCGGCTCGGAACTCGCACTCTGGATCGCACTCTGCGCGCCGCGCGCGCCCGGACAGTGCGGACCGCACCGGGTCGGACCCGACCCCGCCCCGCCCCGCGCCCAAGCCAGGCGGAGGCTCCGAGACCCTGTCGCCTCCTCAAGCCCCGGAGCCGCTTCTGCAGTCTGGGTCCCGGGGCGAGGCGCAAACCCGAAACCCCAGAGTCCCGAGTCCTGAGCCAGGTCGCGGGCAGGACCCCAGCGCGCGCGCACGCACACACTCACACGCGCACACACTCAGTCGAACACTCGCTCACGCTCGCACCGGAGCCCCGCTCCCGGGTCTGGCCGCGGCCTCCGACAGCAGGACCGAGACGCGCGCCGGGGCGGGCCCGAACACCCGGACGGCGCGGGAAGCGGCGGGGGCGGCCTGCCCTGCCCTGCCCTGCCCCTGCCGGTGGGTCTCGGCCCCGCCCCGCCGCCCCGCGCCCCACGCGCGGCAGGGACACCAGTTGATAGCTCGTAGCTCACGGAGGGAAGAAGAGGGAAAGTGCGACGACTCCCGCCGCCCGCGCCCCGCGATCCCGGAGTTCGCAGCCCGCGCGCGACTGAGCCAGACCGGACCCTCGCTCCCCGCGCCGCTCACCTCCTTAAGCTCCCGGGCCACGTCCTTCAGGTCGCCCAGCACCAGCTCCAGGTCCTGCACGATGGCCCTGATCTGCTCCTTCACCGGGGCTCCGCGCGCGGCTGGCGAAGCGGACATCCTCCGGGCGTCAGCGCCGGCGGCCGCGCGCGGACCCCCGCATCGTGGGCGCCGCCTTGGCCTGGCGCGGCCCGGCCCGGCCCGGCCCGGTCCGGCCCGCTCCGGCCGCGAAGCGACGGTGCCGCCCGCGACTCCGAGCCGGAGCCGCGCGCGGGCTGCAACCGGGAAGAGAGAGCGCGCCTGCGCCGCCGCACACGCACACGCGCGCCCGCGCCCGCCCGGGGCCACGCGCCACGCCGCCCGGCCGGGACGCTCCGTCACGGTGCCTGGGACCCGACAAGCTCGGCCCGGCCCGTGCTTGTTCCCGTGCGGCGAGGTTGAGTCTACTCCCCGGCCCCGAGACCCTGATGACCTAGAAAGCGCTGCGCGGGGAGTGGGAGTCAGAGTCGGGTCCACAGGGACCCTAACCCAGGACCACGGTCGTCCTGAGACCTCGAAGGTCCCCCGAGACCCACCCACCCGCGAGCTGCGTGCTTCTGCGGGGCTGGGGAGGGGGGGCGGGGTACCGGGGTCCTGCAATGCGAGGTGTAACCGGTATCCCCAAGAGGCCCCCACCGCAGCTGCCTAAAGCTAAGGGAGTTTCCTTAGGGTTGAGTCCTCCCACCACCAGTCCCCGGGGGACGCCTGGGCCGTCTGAGTCACCCTGGTTGCGCTGCTCGGCTGTGGCGACTCCTGCTCCAGCCCTTAGCTGGCGTGTGCGGGGAGTGAGGTGACACTGGCTGGCCAGTCCCGGAGGACGCTCAGTGAGGGCCTCCAGCTGCGCTCTAGCCTCGCTTTTGCCTCTATTTCAAGTGTTGCGCTACTAAACAAATAGAAAATAACTTCGTTCTGTCAGAAGGACTGAGGGAGGTGAGTTAGTAGGAATCCTGCACCTCCTTCCCGGTAGGTGGCCACCAGTCTCATTAACCAGAGTTTTCATTCCCTCAGTGTCTAGCCGCTCTAGCTACTGACCTGGCTGGCCGTCTGTTTTCTGGAGGAGGAGCACTCCTCCAGAACACTTTTAATAGGCTTTTCATTTTGGTCCTGCCCTCCGAGGGCTCTCTGTCTCTTGTTTCTCATGCCCCAAACAGCTCTAGCAGGCCTCTGCATCAGAGGAGTATCTTGGCTCTCCTCTTTCTGGTCACTCAAGCTTCTAACTATCAGTCACTCTGCTACTTAAACGACTCACTTGACAGGATTCTGGAAATTGTATTTGCAATAGGAATAAAAACTGAGGACCGATGAAATTTAGTATCAAAAAATGCAAAAGTGGAATATGCATTGAAAGATTAGGAAAAAAAAAGTAGAAAGTGGGTAAGTATATGTAGAATAGGATGAGGAAAAAAAGAGTTTTCAGCAAGTCAATTGAGAGAAGAAAACCAAAGGAGTGTTTCAAAATGCCAAATAATGTGCTTCAGTTTTCTGGAGTAAAAAGAATGAGTTTTCTTTAACTGCCTTTAATCTTGTCAGGTGCTTTATAAACAGTAACAGTGAAACTGATTCTACCAGGCTCACAAACCCCATCACACACACACTGGAAATTTTGATCAATAATTTGTTTCACATCTGAAGAAAGCTAAGTGTTCAGTTATGTCAGGAGCTAACACGAAGAAAAAGAAAAAAGTGCTGCTCTTCCAGCAGCAAGCAAGGGAATAAGAAAGTCTGGGAAACTCAGTGATTTTAAGGAAGGATACAAGAGAAGAGGAAAAGAAATGACTGTGTCCTTCCCAACAACAAAATAATCCTCTAAATATTAGAAAATGTCTCAATTTAAACTCATACTAACGATTACACCAAAAGAAAGAAACAAAATCTGCTTCCTTACGATATCCTTGACTTACTAACCAATCAAAGTATTTTGGCTTAAATAAAATCACTGCTACTCTGAAACACTTCCCACAGCCGCGTCACGGTTTGCTCACGTGTGATGGCAGTTATCCAATCAGCGCGGGTGTGCAATATCAAGTCAGCTAAAGGAGAAGAGTGGGTTGTCCCCAAACCCACGCCAAGGGAGCAGAGTGTCTCAGCAGAGGTGACTGCAGTGGCCACTATCTTCCACTCATCAAGTGTTTCTTAAACCAAGTCTTCATAAACTATTCCTAAAGAAAACTTTATAAGGAATTAAAATATTCAGGGGAAAAGAGAAAGAATTTAAAAAGGTATAATACGAGTCAAATGTATTTTCTGTTTTCTATTACCCTCATGGAAAAAAAAAACTTTCATTCCTTTACCTTATACTACATTTTATCTGTATGTATAATGTTTAGAGTCAAATTATAAGGATTACAAAACAAGCAACACTTCACACAGTTACTGATGACTGAATATTTTTATTTACTAGTTGTAAATGACACACTCAAAACATAAATTTAGACAAGAAAACATTTCTAAATAAAGAAGAATCTTATTTAATGGGGTGATTGTACTCAGAATATTTTCTTTCCTTTACTCCCCACTTTCTAATTATCCAGGAAGAACTGGATAATTATAGATAGGAGATCATTTAGTGGCTGTTTTCAGTTGAAAACCCTTATCAGTACTTTGGTGTGTGTGTGTGCGTGTGTGTGTGTGTGTGTGTGTGTGTGTGTGTGTGATTACAATTGCTATTGAGCCCTAAGAATTAAGTTTTAACATTCAGAGGAAAAAAATCTTGTAACGTGACATAATTTTTAAATCACAACACATAAAAAAGTTCCTAAAATGTTTTCTCTCGGTTGACAGTGATTCTTACTGATACACTACCGTCTTATCCCTTGTCTATTCTGAAAGAAAGAATGAGATACATAATACAAAATACCTCTGAACTGAGGCTTTTTGCTTTACAGCAACTGATTTCTGCTTATAAAATCCAAGTCATATATGATAACATGAATAATAAATTTTTTAAGGTTTTTTTGGCCAAAATAGTTCTCAAGAGCCATAGGAGTGGGGAATTTTGGAGAAGGGTGTATAAGTGTGAGGGGAAATGTTAGTGATGCATCTGAGAAAAATTAGGAAACTTCTGCATATATTCATTTACTATTAAATATATTGCATATGGGCAGTTCTGAAGCTCTAGAACACATCAAAGTTTGCTCAAACTCAAATTGCCAGGCCCCATCCCTAGGGGGTCTGATTTAATTCTTGTTGGTTTGTGACCACAGTGCTGTGTGAGATTAAAATTTAATCTTTGTTTTTAGCTGCAATAAACCTTACAGATCATCTAGTTAAACCTCTTTGTATTGTAAGTGGAAAAAGTCACTGGGAAGTTAAATAACATTTCCAATGTTTCACATGTAGTGAAAACAAATTAAGAGATAATACCACCTATACATTTTGTTAAATTTATTTCCTTTTGTTTGAAGAATGTCACCTCTTTATATATCAATTACTTTTGTCACGAAGGATATTTGGATGTACTGTAGCTACATATTGACAAAAAATAATAAATGTGATTGTAAGTTCATTATACTAATCTGAGGCAATGAAACTGTATTACAAAGTAGCTTATCAATAAATATTTAAGAATACAATAATTTAATGGTCCCCCTAGGCAAAAATTCATGCTTTGGAATAGATATGCCATTAGGCTTAGCATAACATTGTTCCAGCAGGAACAATTAGCTAATTCCACACACAGGTTTAATACAAAATGATATCCGTATAGTAAAATGATACTATCAAAATATTTGTTATCCTTTTTTCCTAACTGTAGTCAGTTTATGTCATTGGGCCTTTGCTATTATCCAAATATTGGTGTCCCAACGAAATCCCTGTGTTTAAATCAAAGCCACCAGTGTGGTGGATTAAGAGGTGGACTATAGGGAGTTGATTTGGTCAGGAGGGAGATGCCTTCATGAATGTGATTAGTGCTCTTCTGTTTTGATACTGAAAATTGGACTTCGCACTTGTCAGGCAGGCACTGTGCCACTGAGCCATTTCCCCAGCCAATTAGTAAAGCAGGCCCTCAGAGACACCAAGGCTTCTAACACTTGGTCTTGGACTGCTAGCTTCCATTATTTAAAAAAATTCTTATTGTTTCTGAGTCTATCATATTTTGTTATAACAAAATTGGACTAAAATAACCTCCTGTGTATCTTAGAAAACTTTTTACATATGTGGTAGAAACCGCTTTTATCAACTCAACAAAAGAAAGATGAAAACAGAAACATCTTCACGTAGAATTAGAGCAGAAATTGTAGGACCAGTGAGACACTTTCTACTTGTGTAACCCTACCACCCTACCTCTATCACAGGCTCTGTGAATTGGCTTTGTTTTAGAGCAGTTTACCCAGGAATTTGAAGCTTGGTTACTGGTAAATTCAAGTTTATATCCTCACAGATTCATAACTACAAGATAGGTCTTTACAGCAATCCAGTTTAGGTCACAGATACACACCTCAAGCCGTTCACCTATGATTGGGATGCATTTGTATCATTCAAAGGTACTATTACAGCATGCCATTCTTATTGTACAGAATACATATATTTATATGCCATGATTTCCCAGCAGGTGGCAGTAAAACCAGTTAGTCTACCAAAATCTGTGTAAGTTTCTGGTAGTGGAAGTATTTTTAGGAAGCAATGCCATTTTATAATTTCACAGACAGAACGATGCCATATGAATTAGTAGTGATGTTTGGATCAGCAGGCAGTGCTGAACAACTATAATTACTAACCTCACTTGGATTAAACTGCCCACTCATATGGCTGATTACTGCCCCTGAGAAAATAAAAACACTTATAAATTCACCATACAGCTTTTATATTAGATCGTATTTCTTACTTTAGCCTCACATGTACAAATTTATACTTTTAAATTATTTTTGCTTCCCCAAGCTAGCTTCACTTAAGTGTTACATTTGGCCCTCAGTTTGTCCTTGCCTATCTTATCAACTCCCTCATTTGTCTTACTCTCAGGGTCAAGTCCTAGGTACAAGGACTACATGCAGCTCAGTGCTCTGCTAAGCTCCTCACCACCTGTGCAAGCAATGCTCCGCTAATGCGCTTTGCTCAACATTTCGAGTGTTGTCACTCATCCTGACCCCTGGCACGTGAGCCTGATGTGGTAATCCTTGAACTGCTGGAACAAGCTCTGAGAGAACCTAGGGCATGCAGACCCCAAAACTTTCACAGCTTTGGCCAAAGACATGTTCCTAAAACCTGGCCAATTGTCACTATGTACAATTTATCCACCCTCCTTTCTGGAAGGTGACCCAGCTACAACCAAAGAAAACTTGATCATTAAGCAGAACTCGTATTCTCCATGACCAAGACCACTCATAGTCTTAATCATCTATACACAAAGGAAATTTTAGAGACTGTACCTGAAAGTTCCAGTTCTTATTAAATTTCAAGGTATTTTCCCCATGGAAATGAATATGAATGGACCAGGCTAAAGTTAGAGAAGACAGACTTTGGAAGAGGCTGAACTCCTTTCCCTGCTTGAGGAATACTCCAGCCTCCAAATATAAACTCATGTCCTGCCTGCTGTTAGATGGCCACCACTTACTACAAAAGGTAGCCAGGTAAACTATGCAG